CAGCCTCACCTGTGCCACTGCTGCTTCACTATGATTTCTGAAGGTTCAGGCTACGAAATCCTGCCCTTGGTATAAACATTTTAATTACAAGTTTCCGGGACTTCTTTCCTAAGATAAACACATTTTAATTGCAAATTGCTTCTGCTGTCTTTACCCACCCCCCAACACTGCCAGCAGCTGCTGGATTTAATATTTAATGAAGCTGCCGCTGGGCTGGATGCAGCAGCGGGGCTGGGGGACACTGGAGCACCCCGAGAGTGCTGGAGTGAGGCACAGGGACAGCCTGGGGTGCAAAGAGGGGCAGCTCGTGGGTCCTGCAAAGCCACCACAGCTGGGGGTGACCCTGGCCCCGGGAGCTCGTGCTTGGAGCACAGCAGGTGTGACCTGTGCCCTGCCCAAAGGGACAGAGCCACCTGTGCTGAGGGTCCCCAGCCAGCAGGGAGGGTGCAGGGGGCTCTGGGCACTTTCTGGGCTTGGCCCCATGGCAGAGGGTCCTGCTGTGGCCACCTGCCTGCCACCCCCATCAGCCACGTCGTGGTGGCACAGCCACGAGTCTGTGTCCCCTGTGCCACCGCTGCCCGGTCCCCAGAGCCACCCTGTGATGAGGAAATGCCATTAGCTGTTTGTGTGGCATCTCACAATGCCATGAGCCATCTCACAATGCCATTAGCTGTTCATGTGGCATCTCACAATGCAATGAGCCATCTCACAATGCCATTAGCTGTTCATGTGGCATCTCATGTGCCACCAGCTGTAGGTCAGGTCTCTGGGCACAAGGCACCACATATTAGCCCCTGCAGCACTGAGCACCAGAGCAGCACCAGCAGCTCCTGCAGGGCTGGGGCTTTGTCACCTGGGTGGTGGCTCTGGGGCTTCTCCGGTGACACCCTGGCTGAGGCACCTTGGCTGTCACCTCGGCTGTCACCATGGCTGTCACCCTGGCTGTCACCATGGCTGTCACCTCCGCTCCTGCGGAACCAGCTCTGCCCAGGCTGCGGGCTCTGGCTCCAGCACAGGGACTGTGATGAGCCCCATACAGGCCCTTGGTGTGTTTGAAACCCACGCTGCACCATCAGAATCTCACATTGGGAACCAACTGAGAGCTCCTACTGCTCTGCCTTTTATTCCTTCACTTTTTTTCCCCCTTTTCTCTCTTCAAACCTTCCTTTGAAACCCAAACTTCCTGCAGTTTGAAATGGACAATCAGGCCGCCCCGGCAGCTGCAGCCCAAGAGCTTCAGCTCTTGGCAGGAGGATCAGAACTACAAAACTATTTCTTTGAGGCAAATTATGCATTCATCCAGCTCATTTGAAACAAAATATGATTTGCAATTTAACTTTCCATAATGAGCTCCTGCTATTATACCGTTTCCATAATGGCTGGTTTCATTGGAACAGATTGTTGGTGCACATGGTTTACAAAACATTTTCAATGCAAGCCCCGTTTTTTCTTATTTTAAATAGCAACAGCTGCTAAGCATGATAATTATTGTATTTCATCAAAATAAACTTACCGAGTTGCTTCTCGATGCCACTCGTCACAATTTTCCAGCGGACCTGCAGGTTATTGAAGAAGCTGAAACTTTAATTCAGCAAAGTGAGAGCAGCACCTCATCCAACTCCCTGCCAGGGGCAGAGACATCTTCCACTATCCCAGGCTGCTCCAAGCCTGGCCTTGGACACTGCCAGGGCTGCAGCAGCCACAGCTTCCCTGGGCACCCTGTGCCAGGGCCTCAGCACCCCAAGGAAGCGCTTTCCCCCAATATCTAATCCCATCCTACTCCCTGACATTCCTCCCTGCCCTATCACAACCTGCTCTGGTAGATAATCTCCCTCCACCTTTCCTGCAGGCTCCCTTTGGGTACTGGAGCACCAGGAGCAGGCAATGAGAAGCTGTGGTAATTAATTCCTAATTGCATTTACCTGCATCCCTGTTTCCCATGGTGCTCCCAGGGCACCTGTCAGGGCTCCCCAGCGTGCAGCAGCCCCAGAGCTGCAGCCACAGGCACAGAGCTCCCATCTCCAAACACCCCCAGCTCCCGCTGACCTTCTCCAACACCAGCTCAGGTGCTGAAGGAGGATTTTCTCCTCTAGTGGCTGGAGTGAGGATAATGCCAGAGGGACAGCGGTTTATTACTGAAGAGAGGGTGAAAATCTTATTTGTTGAATATTTTCTGGGTAACTTTTGAGGGCTGTGTTTAGCGGCTGTGGTCAGCTGGGGATTTACGGATGTGCAGGATAACGATGCTGGAGAAGCTATTCCAGCCCCCGGTGAAAGGCTGCCCTTTACAGCACCTCAGCGTTTGGATTTAGATGACAGGTAGTAATGGCACCACAGAAACCATTACTGTCCATCAAGTAAGCGATACAAACGGTCTGGCCTTACCCAGACTCTCATGAGCTATGGCAAACTGTAAAAATCCCCAAAAAATCAAACCCAGAAAGGACAAAAGATGCTTTTGAGGAAGGAGCAGTCTGCAGGAGTAGGGACTAGGGAGCTTCCCTTGCAGCAGGCAGCGGAG